AAGCAAACAGACGCTGCCCTGGATGCACTCACCAGTTATGCCAAGAAATCTGGAAGAAAACTAACTGGAAGAAATCTGTATTTATTTCCATTCTTAAAAAAGATGACCCAACACAGTGTAGAAATTATTGAAATATATCACTAAAATCACACACAAGCTAGATTCTGCTTAAGATTATCCAAAAACTACTGGAACAGTATATCAGCAAAGAATTGCCGGATGTGCAGGTGGGGTTTACAAGAGGCCACGGCACTAGAGACATCACAGTCAACGTTAGATGGAGCTTGGCCGAAAGCAGAGCATACCAGAGAAATGTCCATCTGTGTTTCATTGATTACACAAAGGGATTTGACTGTATGGATCATAACAAATTGTGGCTGACCTTGAGAAGAATGGAGATCCCAGAACACTTAATTGTGCTCATGCAAAACCTATACTTGGATGAGGAAGCAGTCCGAGCAGGAAAACATTGTATGATTCAGGATCAGGAAAGGTGTGTGTCAGGGATGCCTCCTGTCTCCATACCTTTTCAAACTGTATGCAGAGCAGATCATCTGGGAGGCTGGACTCTATGAGGAGGAATGTGGCATCAGGACTGGAAGAAGACTCATCAACAACCTGTGTTATGAAGATGAAAACCTTGCTTGCTGAAACTGAGGACAAGGAGGCGTTTGCTGCAAAAGGTCAAGGGCTATAGTCTTCAATATGGATTGAAGCGTAACATCAAGAAAACAAAGATTCTTACCACTGGGCCAACTGGCAGCTTCACGACAGACAGAGAAGATATTTAGATTGTTAACAACTTCAGCTTGCTTGGTTCCACAATCAACACTCTTGGTACTAGCAGTCAGGAAATCAAAAGACGGATTGCATTGGGGAAGTCCGTGTGGGACCTCTCTCGAGTACTGAGAAAAACGATGTCAGTATGGAGACTAAGGTGCGCCTGATCCAGGCCATGATGTTCAGTTACTTGCTGTGGGTTAGGGAGCTGGACACTAACTAAGGATGATAAAAGAAGGATCAGTGTCTTCGAGTCGTGGTGCTGAAGAAGTATGCTGAACACACTGTGGACTGCCAGGAGAACAAACAGGACTGTCCCGCAGAGAGGGACACCAGGCTGCTCCCTGCAGGCAAAGATTCTGAAACGACCAGTCCTCCAAGAAGGACATCACGCTTGGAAGGCTGGAGGGACCGTGCAGGAGAGAAAGACCCTACATGAGATGGACTGTTACAATAACTGGGGCGATGGAGGTAGGTGTGTTGGAGTAAGACTGGCTCAGGACAGAGCAGGCTTCAAAGCTGCTGTTCACAGGGTCGATATGAGCTGCAGGTGACTCAAAGGGACATAACCACAATCCCTTCATACATAAATATTTTATCAATTAGGGAAAAGCAACTTAGTCCAATAGAAAGATTCGATTTCATACCTAATTAAAACAAGAGAAGGTTACACACCCTTTGAACTAGAAATTCTGTCTTCAGACTGAAGCCACGCTTCAGCTGGCTTCCCGAGCTCATGTCAAGCCCTCTACCTACCGCTCATCCTTTTTCAGACCTGCAGAGTTTCCCTCTTATCGATAAGGCTGTTTTCACAATGAGACTTTGTCTCACTTTTTTTTTTTATACATATGGAACGCGTCACAAATTTGCGTGTCATCCTTGCACAGGGGCCATACTCATCTTCTCTGAATCAGGAGAGACCAATCCCTGGAAAAGGACATTCTACTTGGTAACGTATGTTGATGGTGCTACGGCCTCTTCTAAACCTAGCTTATAAATCTGGTAGTTCTCCATTGATGTATCGCTGTTCTAGTTGTTTTTGGATGACCTTCAGCAGTATTTTGCTCATGTGTTTTTGTTGGGTTTTCCTTTTCGGCATATGATATTGTTCAGTAATTTCCACATTCTGTTGGATCACCTCTTTTAGGAATGCGAATGAATATGGACCCTTGGGACCAGCAGTCAGGAAATCAAAATGTGAGCTGCAGTGGGAAAATCTGCTCTCAGGGACCTCTGCAGAGCACTGAAGAGCAACAACGTCAGTCTCAACACTAAGATGCACCTGATCCAACCGTGGTCTTCTCAATTGCTCGCTACGTATCTCTAAGCTGGACAATCATTAAGGATAACAGAAGAAGAATCAATGCCTTTGAGTTGTGGTGCTGGAGAAAAGTACAGAACGTACCATGGACTGCCAAAAGAACCAACAGTTCTGTACTGGAGAAGGTGAAACCAGTTTGCTCCTTGGAGGCAAGAATAGTGAAGCTCTGTCTTCTATACATTGGGCATGTTGTCAAGAGGGCTACTCCTTGGAGGACATCAGGCTTGGAAGGGAAGAGGGTCAGTGCCAAGAGAGGGAGGCCCAGAATGAGCTGGGCTGACAATGATTTTCACATGCAAGCAAAGCAGTGTTCAGTACAACGCTACTGCTTGATAATTCCCACAATCCGGTGGGGATCTCTTTCACATCAAGTGGCTACCAAATGTCCTTGCACAGGTTGGTAAGCCAGTCTAGGACCTCCTTTGTTAGTTGAAATATGTCAACTGGTGTGCCTTCAACTCCTGGGGCCTCTTTCTTTTGCCAGTGCCTTCAATGTCGCTTGAGGCCTCCTTCATCACCATTGGCTCTATATCATATGCAACTTCCTGAAATTTTTCAGTGATAACCAAGTCTTTTTTGCACAGTGACTCTGTGTATTTCTTTTATCTTCTTTTGATGCTTCCTGGATCATTTAAGACTTTGTCCATAGTATCTCTCAGTATTGCAACTCAAAACTTGAATTTTAGTTCTTTCCACTCGAGAAATGCTAAGTGAGTTCTTCCTTTTCTAGTCTCCAACTCCAGCTCTTCAAACATTCCGTTACAACACTCTGCTATGTCTTCTTGCAAATATTCTTTGAAACATTCTGTGTTTCTACTTTACAGCATCTCTTCCCTTTGTCATGGCTTCTTGAGGCTCTAGTGTGATTTTCAGGGTCTCTTCTGACATCCGTTTTGGTCTTCCTCTCCGTCTCTATAACGACCTTTCGCTCTCTTCTTGGATGTATCTTTGATCCCACTACTCATCAATCTTCAATCATCAGTGAAGGTTAAGCACGGGTTCAAACATACAGACAATCATAAGAACGCAGACCCAGGGCATGTTTTGTTCTGTTGCACAGGGGTCTACGAATTGAATCCATCAATGGTATCTTACAACAGCAACGTATTCTTTCACACTAAAGTGCCTCGTTCTTATTTCACTAGTCTCTTCTCAAAAATTATTGTCAATAATCACTATTAATATGCACAGAAGACTCTGAGGCAGGCTGTGTGGTCCCTTGCTTCTGGCGGTTTGACTCCAGGGACACACAAGTCCTCACAGGAAAGAGCATCAGATCTGCATATAACCAATGCACATGCCCCCGTGTACCTCAGATTGTCTCGAGATTATTCACATACCTAAAACAGCCTAAAAGCACTGTGTACACAGCACTTTCTGCCCCCTCTTAGCCTTTGAGGAGTGAATCGCTCTGATCACTTGTTTTTAGAGCCTTTTCCTCCCCAAATATCTGTCCCATGTTTTCAACGCTCATGTTGACTGAATCCACTGACACTGGGCCCTCACACATGGAGGGCCGACCGGACTAAGAAATAGTTCACAGGGTTTACTTCCAGAAAGATGATCAACTGAGTCCTGGAGAGAGGAATTCTACTTCATCATTCTTCTCTTCTATATATAATCACCAGCGTTTCTTGCTGTTGTTGTTATGTGCCGTCAAGTCGCTTGCAACTCATAGCGACCCCATGTACAACAGCCCTAAACTGCGCTCTGTCCTGTGCCAATCGCACTGTCTCTGACACTCCCATCCCAATTATCCCAGTCACCGTATAAAAAAATATTTCTAAGGGAGCTCTGGTGGCCTAGTGGCAAGAAGCTGCACTGCAATCCCAGAGGTATGCGGTTCGAATCCACCAGATGCTCTGCTGAAGAAGGAGGGGCGATTTCCTCCTGTACCAGTCAGATCTGATTTGACGGTACACACACACACAAAATAATAAAAAAATATATATATTTCTAATGAAAAAGTCGCAACTCTACTTGCTGAAAATGAGGACTTGGAGCACTTGATTAGAAGGTAAAACACTGCAATCATCAATATGGATTACATCCCAATGTCAAGAAAACAAAAGTCCTTGCCACTGGACTGATAGGCAACATCATGATCAATGGAGAAAGGATCGAGATTGTCAATGAGTTCATCTGCTCAGATTTACAATGAATACCCTTGGTCCTAGCAGTCAGAAAATCTGGAGACGTATTTCACTGGGAAAGTCTGCCGTCAGTGACCTCTCCGAATCACTGAAGAGTAAACCTAATAGTTTTAGGACTAAGGTGCACCTGATTCTTTTCAATCACTTGCCATTCATCTGAGAGTTAGACAATGATTAAGGATGAGAGAAGAATTGATGTCTTTGAAGGGCGGTGTTGGAGAAGAGTGCCGAGTATCCCATGGACACCGAAAGAACGTGTCTTGGAGAGGGAGCAGCCAGAGGGCTCCTTGGAGGCAAACATGATGACGCTTCACCTCGCATCCTTTGGGCTTGTTGCCGGGAGAGGTTATTCCCGGGAGAGGGACATCATGCTTGGGAAGGTAAAGGGACAGCGAGAGAGCGGAAGGCCCGCCACCTGTGTGGACTGACACAGTGACTGCAGCAGTGGGCTCAAGAGTGTCAGAGATCGTGACAACGGCACCGGACAGGGCAGGGTTCAGATCAGTTGTTCTTTGGGTTACTTTGAGTTATATGCAATTCGACAGCACCTAACAAAACCAACAAGGAAAAAGCCATCACCATGTACTTTAAACTGTAGGTCAGAAAACCTCAAGGGCTCTGTTCCTGGGCGGAATTATGACAACAGGAGTCTCGAACGTGGTATTTCAAACTCTTAGGGAAATCTAAATGACTGAGCCCGGGCCGAAAGGCACCCCCGCAGACAGGAGGTGGCGCTGTCCACTCACCGATGGAGTCTCTCAGCGCCTCGCACTTGCTCAGCGGGGGCAGTTTCAGCAGCTCCTTCCATCTCTTGCTGCGACTGCTTTTTCTTCCATAGCCTCCTAGATGGGGGAAGAAAAAAAAGGTCAGAAGTATCCAGTAACTACGCCCACTATGTACCTTCCTACTTCTGTTTATTTATAAGTAAATATAACTGCTCTATCCTGTGCCAACTTTACTGTCTGGGACACACCTGCCTTCATTACCCCAGCCACTGAGTCAATCCATTTCACCCAGGGTCTTCCTCGCCTGAGCTGTCCCTCCACTCTTCCAAGCATGATGTCCCTCTCCAAGGACTGGTCACTCCTTACAACATGTCCAAAGTATGTTAGACCGAGCCTCAGAATCCTTGTCTCCAAGGAGCAGCCTGGTTTCACCCTCTCCAGGACGAACTTCTTTCTCCTGGCAGTCCATGGTGTATTCAACACTCTTCCCCAGCACCACAGCTCAAAGAAGTGAAAATAAAAAGGTTTACACTGATGTCTTCTCTGGAAGGCAGCTGGGGGAGTGGTCTGGTCACTGGCTCTGTCATTTAGAAACCTCGTAACCCTGGCCCTTGCAGTTGTTCCTCTGAGTGCCCCTGTGCCCAGATCTAACAGCAAAGAGTACACAAGGCTGCTTAAAATGTGCACCAAACATCTTCAATGTGTTAGGAATATCGTGGTGAAAAAAAGACAAAGTCTTTTCTCTACTTCACAGAGAGGGGGTGAGAAAAAAACAATAAATTAAATAATGATAAGTAATACTGAAAAAACTAAGCCACACATAAGGTTAAATGGCCGAAGCAAAACCAAGTGGTATAAAGGCTGTGGTGCTAGGCTGGCTGAGGGGGTCTCTGTGAACACGGGGGCCAGGCTGAGGCTGGAAGGACAAGATGGGTCTTGGGGGCAGCGAGTGGAGGTGGGGAGAGGCATCCCACAGAGAAAGGAGCATGATGGGAAAACCACACTCAAACCTCACAAGTGTTTTGGTTTTGCAATTTACACGTTTAATGCAATCCCAATACAAATACCAATCCCATTGTTCAACGAGATCAAAAAGGCAATCTCCAGTTTCATTTGGAATGGAAAGAAGCACTGAATAAGCAAAGCACTCCTTAAAAATAGAAGAAAGGTAGCAGGTATGTCACTCCCTGATTTCAAATCCTACTACACTGCCATGGTGGTCAGGACAGCATGGTACTGGTACAATGACAGACACATGGACCAATGGAATAGAATTGAGAACCTGGAGATCAGCCCATCTATCTATGGTCAACTGATTTTTGACAAGGAGATGAAATCAGTGAAGTGGGGAAACGACAGCCTTTTTAAAAAATGGTGTTGGCAAAATTCGAAAAGTATGTGCAGAAGACTCAAGCAAGATCCACACCTTACTCCATATACAGAAACCAACTCAAGATGGATCATGGACCTAGGACTAAAACCAAGGACTAGAATCTTCATTTAAGAAAAGCTTGGAAGAACGCTACAAGTCCTCATCCACAACATAAACAGTCTTCCAAGTATCCTGAAAAACCAAAACTAGGAGAAGATAAAATAGATGAATGGGATCTTCTAACAATTAAATCCCTATGTACATCCAAAAACTTCTCCAACAGGGTAAAAAGGGAAGCCACAGACTAGGAAAAAATATCTGGTAATGACATATCAGATAAGGGACTTACATCCAGAATTTATAAAATACTTGAGTACCACAACAAGGAAACACTGCAAGGTTCAAAATTGGGAAGGGTGTACGCCAGGGATGTGTCTTATCTCCATACCTTTTCAACCTGTATGTGGAACAGATTTATCCGGGAGGCTGGGCTCTGTGAGGAGAAATGTGGCATCAGGATTGGTGGAAGATCTATTAACAATCTGTGTTATGCGGATGACACAACCCTGCTTGCTGAAACTGAGGAAGACCTCATGCACTTGCTGCAGAGGGTCAAGGACTGCAGCCTTCAGTATGGACTGAGGCTCAATGTCAAGAAGACAAAGATTCTCACCACTGGATCAACTGGCAGCGTCAGGATGGATGGTGAAGAGATTGAGATTGTTCACAGCTTCAGTTTGCTCGGCTCCACAGTCAACATTCTTGGCACCAGCAGCCAGGAAATTAAAAGACATATTGCGATGGGAAAAGTCTGCTGTTAGGGACCTCTCCAAAGTACTGAAGAGCAAACGGTGTGTCTCTGGAGACCAAGGTGTGTCTGGTACAGCCCATGGTCTTTGCAATCACTTGTTATGCATCAGAGAGGTGGACAATGACCAGGGTGGATAGAAGGAGAATTGATGCTTATGAGCTTTGGTGTCGGAGAAGAGTGCTGCGGGTACCATGGACTGCTTGGAGGCAAGGATTCTGAGACTTCGTCTGACATACTTTGGTCATGTTGTAAAGAGAGACTGTTCCTTGGGAAGGACATCATGCTTGGGAGAGTGGAGGGACAGCGCAGGAGGGGAAAGCCCTCTGGGAGGTGATTGATTCGGTGACTGGGGTAATCGGGATGAGTGTGTCAGAGACAATGAGATTGGCACAGGACAGAGAAGAGTTTAGAGCTGTTCTACATAGGGTCACAAGCGACTCGACGGCACATAACAACCACCACTACCACAATAAGATAAAGGTAAATAATCCAATAGAAAAATGGGCACAGGATAGGGACAGACACTTTACCAAAGACGACATTCAGATGGCTAACAAGCACATGAAGAAAGGTTCAAAATCCCTGGCTCTAAGAGAGATGTCAATCAAAACAACTATGAGATATCATCTCACCCCAGTCAGAATAGCAAAATTTAACAGAACAGCAAGCAACAATTGCTGGTGAGGTTGTGGACAAACTGGAACCCTTACTCACTGTTGGTGGGAGTGTAAAATGGTGCAACCACTGTGGAAGGCTATATGGCACTTTCTCAAAAAGTTGCAAACAGAGATACCATTTGACCCAGTAATTCTACCAGTGGGAATATACCCCAAAGAGACCATAGCTGACATCCAAGCCGATATATACACACCCATGTTTATTGCGGCTTTGTTCACAACAGCAAGGAGGCGGAAACAACCTAAGTGCCTATCAACAAATGAATGGATAGAGAAGCAGTGGTATATTCACACAGTGGAATACTATACTGCATTGAAAAACAAGCAACTCATGCAATATTATTCAAAATCGGTGACCCTGGAGGACATTGTGCTGAGTGAAGTATCTCAGTCACAAAAGGACAAATACTGCATGGTGCCACTGTTGTAAAGAGGACTGATCTTGGGGCTGGGGGGAGACTGAGAAAGATGGGCTTAATAATATATACTGCATTGAAACAGATGAGGGAGAGAACTATTTAAAAGGAATATGTGATTAGGTATTTTTGTCATGACAGGAGTCCAGAATGAACGCTGCATATTGGAGTGGACCTGGGGGAGGGTTTGTAAAACAATGAAAGAATTTTACTTTTCCAAGAGGGGAGTGAACTAGGGGGAAAGGTTGGGAGGGGGGAAAAAGTGCAACAGTGAATGAATGGAAACCCAAAGTCTCTGCAAATTTTCATTGAAACGAATATTACATTTTTTTAAATTATTTTTAAAAAAAACTAAAAACCAAACAAGTATTTTGGTTTTGGTTATGAAGCACCAAAACTGATTTTAAAATATCTGGCTCTAAGAAATGAGTCTTCAAACTGAAGCACTCTGGGAAACTGTAATTTTACCACTGAGAAAACCTCTTGTCTGATCAAGGACATCAGCGTGACTGGAAGGAGGAAGCAAGCAGGAGGGGAGCCATTTTCCAGGGAGATGAAGTGTGAGGGGTTGGAGGCGCCCGAAGCAGCAGCAGAGGTGGATCTCCAGACACTGCACATGCTCACCTGCACTCAGGATGGAGGCCCTGACCAGAGAGGGGTCTGCAGACAAGGTGCTGGGGCTTCTTCTGCATTTTTTTCTACTTCCCTACGCCCCACACAGAACACGAGCTCTTCATTTTTTTACCTTAGTCATCATTTTTTTACCATGGAGCCATCGAGATACCACTACTTGTGGCCCTCTCTCCGGATCGCCTGTCACAGAGGGAGGTCCGTCTCTTTTGGGGATGCAACTTTCCAATAAATTGATCATTATTATTTTGCCCTCAAAAATGAATGCTGTGGTACAGTGTCATTCATATCACACACAAGCAAAATCCTGCTGAAGATTATCCACAAACGAAGGGAACAGAACATTGACAGAGAACGACCAGAAATACAAGCTGGGTTTAGAAAAGATCATGGCACTAGAGACATTATCGCCAATGTTAGATGGATATTGGCAGAAAGCATCTGTGCTTCATTGACTATGCAAAGGCATTTAACTGTGTGGATCACAACAAATTGTGGTTAACCTTGAGGAGAACGGGAATTCCAGAACACTTGATTGTGCTCATGCAAAACCTATACTTGGCCCCGGAAGCAGTCCTCAGAACAGAGCAGGGAAACAGTACATGGTTCAAAATCAGGAAAGGAGGGCATCAGGGATGAATCCTGTCTTCATACCTTTTCAATCTATATGCAGAAGATCATCCAGGAGGCTGGGGTTTATGAGGAGGAATGTGGCATCAGGATTGGAGAAGACTCATCAACAAACTACGTTATGAAGATGACACAACCTTGCTTGCTGAAACTGAAGAAGACCTGAAGCACTTGCTACAAAAGGTCAAGGACTGTAGTCTTCAATATAGATTGAAGCTCAACATCAAGAAGACAGAGTCTCACTGCTCGGCCAATTAGCAATTGCATGACAGAGAAGAGATTGAGGCTGTTTACAGCTACAGCTCGCACTGCTCCACAATCAACACTCCTGGCACCAACGGTCAGGAAATCAAAAGACAAATCACATTAGGTAAATCTGTCGGGGACCTTCCCATAGTACTGAGAAGCAGCGATGTATGTCAGTCTAGAGACTAAGGTACACATGACCCAGTCCATGGTCTTCACAATTTCTTGCTATGCATCAGAGAGCTAGACAACGACTAAGGATGCAGAAAAATTGATACCTTTGGGGGGTGGTGCTGGAGAAGAATCTTAAACATACCATGGACTGCCAAGAAAAC